GCTGAGGGTGGGAGCAGAGCCGCTGGTGGACCGTGGTGGGGGCTGGCAGCTGGGCCCTGGCCTCACACACACACCCCGCAGTCAGCGGCCAAGGCTGGGGATGGGAGCGGAGCTGCGTTGAGGCTGGGGCTGGGGCTGGGACCAGGAGCTGAACATGTGCTGGACTGGAGCAGAGCTGGGGAGGGGCTGGGTGGTGATCCCTCCCCGCCCCCCATGGGGGCTGGCCTGGGTCCCGCCATGCTCCCCCCAGATGTTCCTCCATGCCCGGCCCCCGGAAGGGTGTTCCCCACAGTTTGGAGACCTCTGCTTTATCCTCTTAGGCACTAGCCAAACTTCTCTGAGCTCATTAACAGAGAAATGAGCATTCCTGAAGGTAGAGATGATCTGCTCCCCACCCTGCCACACACTCACAGATGTCAAACTGGGGACAAGGACAGCCTTGGGAAGATGGGGATGGGAGGACTCAGCAAATAGCTTTAGAACATTTTATTGTTTTTTAAACATTGAGCCATCTGGATCAATTCATAGGGTGATGATACAAATAGAAGGAACCTGCAGGGAGTAACTCATGGCCTAATTCTTTCCCTCTTACTCAGACTGAGTAATCTGTACTTTACTCCACTCTGAGTAGGCCCATAAGGAAGCTCTCTCTAGGTTACTGTTTAATCCTCACATTTAATACCTTGTGGAATAAAAAACCAGTTGGACTTTCCTACCTCTGCGCCATCAAAGTGGAAGGCCCAAAAGGATTTCAAAGGACACTTTTATCAACTAAGCTGCTAGGATGTTCTTGCAAGACAGTAGCTGTGGTCACCCACTTAATCTCCTCCTGTCAGAATGTAGAGTGACATCACAAGGCTTTCTGGAGACATCAGTGTTTCTATAGCAACTGTAACACCACAAGGAGGAGATCTAGACTAGGTGGGCAAATGGAAAATGAGACATACCATTTATATCTGATCCCCATTCTTCTAGCACATTAAGTAATATAGAGTTTGCAGCTATACTTTCTCCACCCTGGGGTACAGTAGGGGATGGGGCAGAAATACATGACTGCTGAAGTATGTGATTTTTTACCAGATCTTCAGGTGATCAATAACAGTTAGAATTCTTTTTGGTGTTTGGTTTTTATTTTCCCATGTTTCAAATACGATAAGATCTTTCCCACTCAGCTTTGCCTTCCCAAAACCTTTTAAAATATAAAGGGCCAAATCCTGTTCACCTTGAGTCACGCAACTAATTAAAATTGATTTGAATGGGACTCACTGCATGATCAAGGCAATCAGGGTTTACTTATTATTTTACAGGCTTTTTAATAACGAATATCACTGAAATAAGTGAGCATCTCTGGCAAACTAACAAATCTACCTTCACATCACTGTGAGACTGGAAAGCATTATTTTATATGAGGAGAGTATATGGCATAGAGATGGGAAGTGAGTTGCACAGTCACAGAAGACAAGGGCGCCAGGTTTGTATAATTTTTGGTGGTGCCCAGAACGGGTCCAAGCAGAACCGTCCCGTCCATAGGACAGACCAGGGCAACTGCCCCGGGCCCCGTGCTTTGGGGGACCCTGCGCTTCAGGGGGATGCGGGGTTCAGGGCAGCCTGGGGGGTTAGCAGGGGACTTGGTGCTGGCAGCAGCGAGCAACCTGGCCCCAGCCCACCCCTGCTCTTCCCCCTCCCCACCCCCATTCCACCCCTTTCCCCAAGCCCCCACCTCTACCCGTTTCTGGCTTCCGCCCTCTCCCCAGAGCGATGCCAGGAGCCGGCAGGGCCAGACAGGGCGGAGCAGAGCGGGCTGGGGCTGGATCGCTCGCTACTGCTGGTGCCAGGCCTCCCGCTATCTCCCCAGGCCGCCCTGGACCCCTCATCCCCCTGAAGTGCAGGGCCCCCCAAAGCGCGGTAAGCCCCAACGTTGGTGGAGCCAGGCCCATGTTCCTAAATGTTGGTGGAGCACGGACACCATGCACCCATATAACTTACTGCCTATGACAGAGGAAGTCTGTGACAAAGCCAGAAATGGAACCCAGATTGGATGACTTTCAATCTATTGTCTCAGTCACAATCCATCCTTGCTCATTAAGATAACAATATTATTACTTTCTATATACCACCACACATGTGCATGGAATTGTACAGCACAAAGAAAGATGGAGCCCTTGCAGTACAAAGCTTCCAGTCAAGGTTAAGACAAGAACAGGGCAACATGAGGGTTAGGAGCTTGGGAGAAGGAAGGCAAAGATTAGAAAATCCATGCAGCTGCTTGGGAACAGAATGGCTTTATAGACTTAAGTGAATGTGAGTTGTAGCTGTTCAGCATCCCTGAAATTCTCTTTTGTTTAGATGCCTAAAGTACAAACTCACAAGTTACAGTTCTGAGGTTAAAATGAGACTGGTTTCCAACTATGCTTTGTAAGTCTCCATGGTTTCCACCTGAGTACACAGTACAATATACTTATTGATATAGTGCTGAAACCTGAAGTCAGATCAGACCTTTCTTAAGGTCTTAAATGTTCCACGTCACTTGTTACGGCTTGTTGATCAGCATCAGGCCAGTCAGGCGTATCAAGATGATCTCACAGGCTCAGCTCATCTGGCTGTTAGTGCTTTGCGTCTAGGGTAAGGATCAAACCAAGGAATTTGATGAAGTACAATGATTGATTGGAAGGAAATTTGTGTCTGAGAAAGTGCTGAGAAAATTTAGTAAGGCTTTCAGAATCTAGACCATATTGCTTTTAGTAGTAAAATGTTGCCTCAACACATCTGCTTGCCCATTAAGGAACTGACACTATCCCATATTTTCAGCTAGTGTAACTTCACTGGCAGTGTGACAAATAGTTACACCAACACAGAATTTGGCCCACTGTATAACAACAAATTTGCAATTAGCCTCTGTCCTAGCAAATATGTTCCATCAATGCAGCCCACTCTCAGAATAAATACACACCAAAGAAAAGGCAAGGGCCTGGAAAAGAGAAGGGGTGATATGCAACAGCCCCCGTCCCTGAGTACAGTACTGGGCCCTTAATTAGGACAAAACTGGATAATTTTTTTGAGGTTGTTTTACATTAGATTCTAGTGTTGCCTGATTAGCTGTCACTTACACTTGCATGTATGTGTATTAGGATTAAGTCTACTGAAGTCAATATAAATACCATGCAAGGTCTACTCTCTTACACCAGTGTAAATGAAAAGCATCTTGAGGGTTACTCTGAAATTATGCCAGCATAAGTGAGATCATATTCTAGCCCATTTATTATCCTACTTCTTTCCATTTACATGATGTGTTTCTTGCACTTCCACAATTACTGGAACAGATCTTTGTCTTCCCCGCCTTACTGGCTGAGTTCATGTTTTTAAAAGATTTTGAGTGAATATGAGTGCTCATTACAATGAGGTAAGGAAGATTACAAAAGACTGGTCATTTGTATTCAAAGTAGACTAAAAAGCAGATGGAATCTGTAGGAAAATCCAGGCTATACAAGTGCATGTAGCAGATTTAGAGAACATTGTGTTTGGCTATAATACAACATTTGCAGCAGGATGAAAAACAAGTTTAAGAGCTGGGGGAGGAATGAGTTAGGAATCATAGAACTGCTGGATGTCCTTAATAGACAGATAATATGCAGAATTCATATAACTTATACCTTAGGGTCCATTCAAGATCAGTGTAGTGGGACCAGGTGGTTCAAAGGATAAGTAATGAATTACCAAGTATGATTTAAATCAGTGCAGCAAGGTAGTGACCAAAAGTTGCTGTAGCTGAACCCTTGGTCTCAAGTTTGTTTCTTAGTGGGACAAGCATTCAGAAGTAGGCATAAGTACCTGACAAATGGCAATCCCTCCAGAAAAACTAATGAGTGAGGTTAGGATTTTCAAATATACCTAAGGGAGATACAGATTTATTTGGGCATAAGCTTTTGTGGGTAAAAACCTCCACTTCTTCAGATGCATGGAGTGAAAACTACAGATGCAGGCATAAATATACTGACACATGAAGAGAAGGGAGTTACCTTACAAGTGGAGAACCAGTGTGAACAAGGCCAATTCAGTCAGGGTGGATGTGGTCCACTCCCAATAATTGATGAGGAGGTGTCAATACCCAGAAAGTCAAAATTGCTTTTGTAGTGATCAGGCCACTCCCAGGCCCTATTTAAGGCCAAATTGATGGTGTTAAATTTGCAAATGAATTGTAGCTCTGCAGTTTCTCTTTGAAGTCTGTTTTTGAAGTTTTTTTGTTGAAGGATGGTTACTTTTAAATCTGTTATTGAATGTCCAGGAAGACTGAAGTGTTCTCCTACTGGCTTTTGTACGTTGCCATTCCTGATGTCTGATTTGTGTCCATTTATTCTTTTACATAAGGGCTGTCCGGTTTGGCCAATGTACATGGCAGAGGGGGATTGCTGGCACATGGTGGCATATATCACATTAGCGGATGAGCCGCAGAATGAGCCCCAGAGTGACACCATCAGAGGACCCAGCCATCAGAGGGGACCCTGCCAGGGGCGGGGCTGGAAATGGCCCCAAAGTCCCAGAGACACACCTGCGAGAGACGGGCCCCGCGGTGGGAGCACCCGAGCAGCCTGATGAACAGGAGGCTGGACCCCAGCACGGGGAAGGGCCGAGCACACCCCCGGAGGGGCCCCCTGGCCAGGAGAGTGTGTGTGCGGGGGGCAAGGCGGGGTGAAGTCACAGCGCACGTGACACTGACTGAAACTAACAGGACGACGAGTCTTTGACGCCTGCCCAGTGCTGTGCCGGGCGACGCCGCGACGCCATGGCGATGGGCGCACGGGGCGAGGCTGGGCGACGGAGGCGCAGACAGGGCCTGCCAGGCAGAGGAGGGGGCAGGGCCCGGGCTGTTGGATGATCGGGTCGGGTCCATCTTCCCCGTCCCCGGGTGGCTCCCTGCGAACACCCCGCCCTGCCCCTGCTGCTTCCCCCCCTCTCCCCGCGCTCCCACCCCGACCCCGGGGACGAAGGGCTGGAGCCGTTGCCCCGCCCAGTGGCGCATGCGCAGCTCGGAGGCGGCTGGCGGAGGAAGGAAGCTTGTCCCCGCGCAGGACCCGTTAGCCGCGGGGGATTGTGGGAGAGGAAAGATGGCAGCGGCTGGCTGCTTTCGGGCTGCCCGCAGTCTCCTGCTGCTGCCAAGGGCAGGTGAGTGTCACCGCCGCGGCGCCACCGCGTGAGGCAGCCCGGCCTCGCCCGTCGGGTTCGCCCCGGGCCCCGCGCTGCCAGGGCCCTGCCCGGAGACGAGCGAGGGGGACCAAGCTCCTGCTTCCCCGGCTGCCGCTGGGTGACGGCGCGGCCTCGCGCGGGGGGGCGCCTCGTGCCCCAGGGCCGGGGCTGGGGGCAGCTCCCGCAGAGGCCGCTGCTGCTCCTCCTTCCTGGCCGCAGAAACCCGCCCGGCTGGAAACAGCGTCTGCGCTGCCCGGTGTAGGGGGAGTGACCGCTGGTGACACAGAGACACGGGCCGGGCGAGGCCATAGCGCCTGTTGGTGAGAGAGACGCTTTCGAAGGAACTCCCAAGTGTCACAGCAAAGCGCAAGGAGCGGGAGATTGTTTGGCATAAGTAGTTAGCACAGGCTGTAAGGAACCAGTCAAGGTTGAGTGGGCCTTTGACACTCCCCACCCCCTCCCCCCGGCTGCAGTCATAGGACAAAAAGGCTTAGTGGGTTGCAGATTGTTGTAATAAGCCATAAATCCAGTGTGTCTGTTCTTCTCACCGGCAGAAGTTGGTCCAATAAAAGTTATTGTCTCAACCACCTTGTCTCTCTAATATGCTGGGACCCACAAGCCTATAACTACACTGCATATCTGGTGATACAGACACAGAGGTAGTGCTTGCCCCTACTAAGACACTTCTTGAAAAGTCCACATTAAATAAGATGAAATATTGGAGATAATACTAAAGAGCTGCTTGGAGCCCTAAGCATTGCATAGCTTGCTTACGACTAGCACCACCACTGTGCTCTCTCCACTCCACCAAGATCAGCATCCCCAACATTTCTCTTCTTCAGCATCCCACTTCATAAAAGGTCTCTCTTCATAAAAGGTCCATGGGTCTTTCTCTCCTCCCTGCATTTGGTCCTCAAAATAATTCTGCAGAGCGCTAGGAAAAGCTCATAGGATTACAGTTTTGAGAATTCTTTAAATTTATGAATCATTACAGGGATTATCATGATTTTGGTGTTTTGCTCCAGCTCCCCAGTTAATAAAGTTCAATGTAAGATCTGTCTTGATATTAAAAGTACTGCATTGGATTGGCCCTAGCTACTTTAGGGTATTTCTAGTGCTACAATTGCTACAGAAGTACAGCTGCAGCAGTGTAGGTAGACACTAACTACAGTGACAGAAGGGTTTCTTTTGTTGCTTTGGTGGATCTACCTCTCGGAGAGGTAGAAGCTATGTCAGTGGAAGAATTCTTCCATCAGTCTAGCTGTGTCTACAGTGGGGATTAGATCAAACTGCCTACATCGCACAGGGCATGATGTTTTCCAGGGCAATGTAGCAAGGTAGACCTATTTTAGTTATAGAACAAGTGTGAGACAGTACCTCTCCTTACCATAACGTACACAGAAGCTGTGTTGCACTGGACATATGTGCTAGTCTATGCTGCAGTAGTTATATTTATTGGCAAAGCTCCCTAGTAGAGAGTGAACTTATGCTGACAAAAGGAATACTTTTATCAATATAGGCCAGGTCCACACTGAAAACTTACATCGGTATAACTATGTCGCTCAGGGGTGTGAACCTAGGCCTGGTCTACACAGGCGGGGGAATCGATCTAAATTATGCAACTTCAGCTACGTGAATAACGTAGCTGAAGTCAACGTACTTAGATCTACTTACCGCGGTGTCTTCACTATGGTAAGTCGATGGCTGCCACTCCCCCGTCGACTCCGCCTACACTTTTCGCTCCGGTGAAATACCAGAGTCTACGGGCGAGAGCTCAGCGGTCGATTTATCCCGTCTAGACTAGACGCGATAAATCGACCCCCCCCACTGGATCAATCACTGCCCGTCAATCCAGTGTGTAATGTAGACGCACCCCTAGTGTACACAGTGCTGTGTCTCGTCGACATAGCTACCACTCCTTGCGGAGGAGGATTAACTACACAGACGAGAGATGCTCTCCCATCGGCGTGGTAGCGTCTTTACTAAAGCACTACAGTGCTGTCCATGTGGACAAGTCCATAGTTAATCCATTTCCTCATGAGTGACCAGTGACCTAGCCATTGGGGGAGACAGGCTCCCAGCCCCTCCCCGTGTGTCCAAGGCTGTGCCTCTCCTCTTCTGCCCCCCTCTCACCCGCACAAGCCCAGAGCACCTCCACTGAAGGGCCCAGTGCCAGGCAGCGAGGCTCCAGCCCTGGTGCACCAGGTGTCAGCGTCCCCAGCCCTGCTGCGCTGGGTGGCACAGCCCCAGCACCAGCTGCCCTGAGTCCCTGTGGGAGGCAGGTCAGCCAGCCTGGGCAGGGTGCTGGGAACCACAGGAGGGGGCCTGGCCTAGGGGTGGAATGTGAGTGGGGCCACGCTAGGCTGTTTGGGGAGGCACAGCATACCCCTGCCTCGATACCCGCTGCCCATGCATCTCCCTGAGCAACATACTGTACACTGGCAAAAGTTGCTGGTATAAACTGAGTCTACATGGGGGATTTTGTCATGCTTGTGTCTTTCACCAACAGAAGTTGGTCTAATAAAAGATATTACCTTGCCCACCTTGTTTCTGTAACGTGTCAGTTAGGGATGGATTTTTTTCACATTCCTAAACTGACATAGGCCAGGTCTATACTGCAAACTCTATGAAACTGTTAACCATTGGAGCAGGAAATGCAGAGAATAGGGGCATGATTGCAGGACTGAATTAAACTATTGTATTTATTCCTGTAAGTGATTAAAAATAACCACAGATTTTATTGTGTTCAGTACTCGTCTCTTTGATACAGCTTTCTTTCAGTAAGTTCTATATGCACCAATCAAGTTGGTTATTCCACAGGCTGGGAATAGCTTTTCCCTCTCATTTCTAAATATTTGTGTGGTCGTCATTATGCTAAAGTCACATGGAGCATATAAAATGATAAATGGCATGACAAATTAGTGATTAAAATTTAATTCCATCACCATAAGCATTGTTCTCGAGGTAGTCTGGTATATATAGAATGCAACCATCTAATTTAATTAAATGTAGTATAAATGCCATTTTGATGAGCTGCAGCAAGGGTGGTCAGAGCACAGGCTTGGGAATTAGGGTTCTGGTTCTATTCCTGGCTCTGCCACAGATTTTCTGTGTGACCTTGGCCAAGTCCCAAGGAGATAAAGAACTTCAGTTTATTTCAAAGGGACCTGAAAATGCTCAGCACCTCAGATAATCTGGACCTATGTGTCTCAAGGTTGGCAACCAAAACCTCTCTTGGGCAGCTCTTTTGAGCATTTAACACTTTACATTTTAAAAAATATGCCTTTTCTGGAGATAGATGATACTTCCTTGCCTCTTCGGGTGTTGTAAAATTTAGTCAAGCATTTTAAAATCAAATTAGTGACAAATAGGAGACTCCCTGGTCGGTGAAAAGACCTATGCCAACAAGTTCTACAGTGTGTAAACTTTCTTAAAAGTCCTCAAAATCCTCAAAGGAACTAATTCTACTAGTGACTTCAATTGGAGCAGCAACACTTTTAGGCCATGTTACTAACTCTTAACGTTGCAAGCATAGCTTTCTGAATGTGACCCAATGTAGAACTACCTTCCTGACTTTGCAGACAGTTACAATAGCTCTGGGAAGCAGCAGAGTGAAATTAACAAACTTGGTTTCACTGTTGTAATTCGTAACACATTGGGTAGCAGTAATATTGTCAAAATCTATGTCGATCTACTGCTGCCTCAGAAAATTACAGGTAGCAGCAAGAACAAGCAATGGAGCTATTTTGAGTGAGAAGGAAGGAAGCTGGGGAAGGGCAGAGTAACAGAACAACTCCTCCCAAAAGCATCAGAAGGTTTCTGGAGGTGTAACAGAAGGGAGTAAGGATGGAGAGAGATGTGCTTCTTTCCATCAACCAAAAGAATCTACATTTCAATGATGAAATATCAGATCTTTACAGGGAAGATGGAATCCCTACAGGGTCCACGATCATAGTTTTGGGGAAAATATCAGTATCCTCCCCCTTCCCAGCAACTGAGAGACTGAGACTCTTACCAGAGTATTGCCTCTGGATCTTGTCTCATCATTTATTTGTATTAGCACTTAGGAACCCTAGTCATGGACGAAGACCCCATTGTGCTAGAGAGTACAAAGACAGAACAAAAAGATGTCCCCTACTCCATAGACTTCACAATCTGAGAATAAGACAAGAGAACAGATGGATACAGACATAGATGAGGGAGTACAAGAAAATGACGAGACAGTATTGGTCAGCATGGTAGACAGTGGTATCAGTGCAATATCAGCCTAACCGTTGTCAGATTTTTTGGTAGGTATCATGGAAAATGAGAGTTTTGTGGAGAGATTTGATGGAAGATAATGAGGTAGCTTTACGGATGTTTACTGGAATCTTGTTGGTGAACCTTTTGCCCCATCTTTCATATTAGCTTCTGGCCACTAGATTTAATCATCTGTCTAATAATACACATTTTTCAAATTCCGTTCATACCTGTCTAAGGTAATGTTGCTTTTGGGAGGATGTGTTGTGACTGAAACTCTTCTGCTGTTAGTAATACAACTAGTAGCACTAATACTGTATGTGTATATTATATATACTGTTTTCACAAAAAAACTTACAACATTTAAGGTAGAAAGTATATTTTCAAAGGAGTCCAGCTAACTACTCAAAAAGCAGTTACTTTCGTTGCAAAAATTATATACCTCTTCAAGACACCCCAAATGTTAGAATACTTTAAAATGAAGTTAAACCATCTGTCCAGTTCTCTACCACAACATAATTCTGGATCACACACTATTCACCTATTTCACTTATATCACCTAGCCTACTTTAAACATTGCTCCTTGCTTTGTTCTATAAAGAAAAAGATTGTTGGAGGTATACTGTTGAAGTTATATATTGATAGGAATATAGTCCTAGCCTATATTAATTTATGTGAGTTCTATAAATTCTCGTAGAAGAAATGGATTGGTTGAGTAGAATAATATTTTTTATGACTAAGTGTTTAGTGTTATGAAGTATATTATTTATAAGGAGTGTTGTGTGTGTGTGTAGACTTTGCAAAATTGTCAAACAGCTAATGTTTTCTATAGTGAGTAATAACCCAGGTTATATTAGTAATACACTATATTGAAATGAATCCCTTAAGTAGGAAATGAGATTCTATAATCTCCTAGTAATTTTTTTTTTACCTTTGTGTATATCTTTGTAGATTTCAGGGGCAACTTTAAAGTAGACTCAGAGGTGTAAATCAGCTGGGGTGATAGTGAGTGGTGAAGGATGGTCGTGATGAACTGGCAGATTCCTCAGATGTTGATTTTGAGGGATTCTAATGTTTAGGTTTTTAAAAAAATGTTAAATGTTTGTGTTAAAGTATAACTGATGATGGCATTAACTGGACTCTTTGCAACTGAACTCTTTAACAAATTATTTTGTTTGTGAATTTCCCATTTTTTAAAATAAGCCCTAATAGTTTAACTTGCATTGGCATGTAAGGTCCACAAGAGGGTAGTCCTGCACTGTTAGACCTTAAGGTGCTGCAGTCTTTAGCAAGTCCATAGGAAGTGTGTGGGAGTTGTACTTGGATGAGACAAGGGAAACAAGGAGGATGCTTTCCTTTCAGGATCTGGGTAGTTAGGTGTACAATTGTTACTTCAGTACAGTGGAAGGGAAGAGGTTTTTATATCTAGAAAATAAGCATTTGAAGTTTAATGTTAAAAGTTTCTACTTTCCCCTGTCCCTATCCATGCCTGCCCATGGTCTACACCACCACCCCTTCAGCCCCTTCTGCCCTATTAGTCTCCTACCCCGTCTTACTCACCCGTCTCCCAGATATTCCAGGAGCAGGTAACAGTTCATAACCACCTAGTCCATTGCCCCTCGTGTCCCTTCCCGGATGCCTGTGTCATCACATCTACTCCCACCCCTCATTTCCTACTATGTATCCCTGTGCCCAATGGCAAATCAGTTTATATTTATTAATTTTGCTTCTTGTACATGTGAAAACAGCTTTGTGCTTTCTCCCGTGCTGCCCCTCATGCTTGAGTGGAACTTCCCATAAACCTCTGCAAAGCAACCTCATCTTTGTCCTCCAAATCCCTTCTTAAAACTCTCCTTTGCCATGAAGCCTGCAGAAAGCTTGACAGCTATTAGGTTGCTGGTGTACCGATATCATTGCCTACTGTGATGACCAATGTTGTCTCATTGATTCCTTGCACTTCCTGGTCTATCTGCCTGTATCCATCTGTTGTCTTATGTCTTATACATAGATTGTAATCTCTTTGAGACAGGGGCCATCTTTTTACCTAACACAATTGAGTTCTGGACCTTGATTAGGTCTCCTAGGTGCTATGGTAATACAAATAAGAAATAACAGGCTTTAGCTACAGATAAAGAAAATACTGCATCTTGCCATCTTATAGCACATACAGCTGAACAGAACACTTCTTCATCCTGGTCCATTGTATAGACGAGAGCAAAAAGACCTTAATTTGAAATTGTCTTATAAACAGTATAGCAAAGTGATCAGTTTCCCCTTGTTGCCTGGATTGGGAAAGAAGAACATTTCATCTCCTCAAGGTCCCTACAGGAGCTACCTTGTGTTTGTCTGAGTCAGTGCCTTAATGATCTTTTAGTTAACCCCTTTCCCTGTCTATCTTACTATGGTGTTTATATTATGTCTTTGTAATTCCCCCACAACTCTCTCTCACTCTGATCCTGTACCCAAACCCATTCCTTTGTTGACTTTTCCAAACTTCCCTGAAATATCCTACCCTAGCTTGAGATGTAATATGGGAAATTTCAGGGCGGACTGGTTTCTTTGGAGGGAAATAAAAGGAGGTGGGTTTAAAATCAGGGTTTTAATGGAAAGCTAACTTCAACTTTATCTGTGGAGTGAAAACAATAACTCTTGCAGTGACTTCACATGCTCTCTCCCTTTGATTGTGTATTTCAGGCTCTGGCATTCCTGCATCAATATCTCCTGCACCGCAGCAGCATCGTCACGTACATTATACTGTGATCCCCCATGGAAGAAGCGGGCGTTCCTCCGTTAGTGGCATTGTGGCAACTGTCTTCGGGGCCACAGGATTTCTGGGACGATATGTTGTCACCCGTCTGGGTAATGTTTCCTGAGAATAACATCGAGTAGTTCAGATGTTTGTCTAAACTATCCACATGTTTTCAGTCTACAAAGTTGGGCTGGAAATCTCCTGAGTACTGGAGGTTAGAAATTGACCCGGTGTAGCAGGGGTGGACAAACTTTTTGGCCCGAGGGCCACATCGGGTTCCCAAAATTGTATGGAGGGCTGGTTAGGGGAGGCTGTGCCTCTGCAAACAGCCAGGCATGGCCTGGCAACCACCCCTACTCAACACCCCCTGCTTCTCACCCCCTAACGGCCCCCCCGGGACTCCTGCCCCATCCACCCCTCCCTGTCCCCTGACTGCCCCCTGACCATCTGCTCCTGGCTGCCCCACGTTGCCCCATCCAACCCCTCCTCTCATTCCTGGCTGCCCCCCTCCCCCCCCGGGACTCCTGCCCCATCCAACCACCCCTTCTCCCTGACCACCCCTGGAACCCCTGCCCCTGACTGCATCCTGCCGCCCCATCCAATCCCTCCTCTTCTTCCTGACTGCCCCCCCCCCGGGACCCCTGCCCCATTCAACCCACCTGTTCCCCCCTTCTGACCACCCCGACCCCTATCCACACCCCCGGCCCCTGCCCACCACCGCAAACTCCCCTGTCCTCTATCCAATCCCCCCTGCCCCCTTACCGCGCTGCCTGGAGTACTGGTGGCTGGCGGCGCTACAGCCGCGCTGCCAAGAGACCAGGACAGGCCTCTGGGCCGCCTCGCTGGAGCCAGCCACCCCACCGCGCGGCACAGAGCACTGGGTCAGGCCGCGGCTCTGCACCTGCGCTGCCCGAGAAGAGCTCGCAGCCCCGACGCCCAGAGCATTGCACCGGCGGCGCAGTGAGCTGATGCTGCAGGGAAGGGGAAACAGCAGGGAGGGGCCGGAGGCTAGCCTCCCGGGCCAGGAGCTCAGGGGCCAGGCAGGAGGGTCCCGCTGGCCGTAGTTTGCCCACCTCTGTGGTGTAGGATTGTTCTCAATGGTACATTCCTAATGTTTGTCTAGTGTTGTAGTCCCAAAAAATGAAAACTGGCTTATCTTCACAAGATTTCTGGTTTTGATCCAGGGAGTGCAGAAGAATCTGAATGTGTTTTAAAGTAATGGGAATAGTGCTTGAAGGGGAATTACCTTTTGTTTGAACTCATAAAATCCAGTTCTAGGTTTAGGTGAAGCTTCTGGTCAGTTCTTATGTTTTCAACATTAATAATGTTTCTTAAGTAAATAGTGATGAGAACTTGTGTTGAGTTGTATAATAAAATCATTTTTGCAGCAGTACTTTTTTATTTAGAATTTTGATCTGACCCTTTAAAGTTGTCCTTTATCATTTGAAATGTCAAATGATATTTGCAATTTCCCCCAACTTTTAAAAAATTATATTAATCACAATGCAAATCATATATCTCCTTAGATGTAAGGCACTTTTTTGTGCTCGCTAGTCATATCATTGTAATACACACACTTATGTGGCATATTATTACACAGAATTTTTCTTCTGCAGGCAGTTGACTTCTGTAAACTTATTATAAAGTTACAGGGTTTGATCCATGAGGCATCCATAAGAATTCTTAAAATAGGCTATTGAGAAACTTAACTTATTTGTACAGTACCTTTAGATCCTCAGATGCATGAAAGTCATTACTAGTCTGATCACAAAGGTTATCTCTAGAATCCAGTTATTTGAGCTCATCTATTGAGTTTTATTTTATGCAGTTAAAAAAGAAAATATTGTACTTTAACAGCAGCTTTTCCTTTAATATTTATATTATAGTTTTATTTAAATCAAGAAATATTGTTTTGAACATTTTAGGGCGTATTGGATCCCAGATAATCATACCCCATCGCTGCGATCAGTATGAGCTCATGTATCTTCGACCCATGGGTGACCTGGGGCAAATTCTGTTCTTGGTGAGTCTTTTGGCTTTGACTTTAGCAATAGTATTGCTTTTGATTTATGCTAGGAAGCCAGTGGTTATCAATTGTGAAGTAAACCACAGAGTTCCATCTGTTTAAATTGTATATGGAAGTTATGTGAAAGAACTTCCTTTGATTACACCTGTTTGCACATTATCTCATATACCTTCCCAATTGGTGTTATGGTTACAGGAATGGGACTCTAGAGACAAAGACTCTACCCGAAGAGCCGTGGAACACAGCAATGTGGTCATTAATCTTGTTGGACAAGAATGGGAAACAAAGTAATTTTCTTGTTTGTCTCTCTGTTTGGATAGATTCATAACCGGTATTGGATATTTTAGCAACATAATTAGCACCACAGGTATGGTACGTGATCACTTCGGGATTATCCTCCCTATCTCTAAAGAGACAAGATTGAAATCTTGTGTGCCACAGTTCTTCCGTGTGACCAAACTTGGAAAAACTGAGCAACAGTTAGAAGCACTGAAACTGATAGTTTTAAGAAGATTAAACATCACATTGGTTAACAGTCTTAACATGTGGCTTAAAGGTAGCCTGCAAAAAGGGCTATAAGCATACTTTTTATTTTTGAAAAGTTTAGCTTCTGCGGAAATTGATAGCACTTGCCTGGAAAAATTTCTTGCTTGCCACAGACAAGCAGATGAGTGAATTTTTTAAAGCTGTGCTTTAGTATAACTAGAGACAAGGTAAAACCACAAAGTAGAGTTGCTTTGGTACAGTATTCTGCTATGTTTGAGTTGCCTGTGTCTTGAATATGCAGAGTCCCTTAATTTAAGGACATTTTTTTAACAATAGCATCATAATGCGTTTCTTAAATCTGTTCAGGAAATGTGACAGTGAACCAGATAACAGGCTTGGTTGTTCTTAAGAGTCTTAAAGTAACATTTAATTTCTTATTTTAGAAACTTCAGTTTTGAAGATGAATTTGTAAATATTCCTAGAGATATTGCCCAGGTAACCAGGGAAGCTGGAGTAGAAAAGCTCATTCACATCTCTCACCTGAATGCTGACATGAAAAGTCCTTCCAAATACCTTAGGAATAAAGTGAGTCTGAATTCAGTCTGTATTTTATTCAGAAGACTGAAAAGTTTTGCCAGATCCATTTCAAGAGAGTACTTTGGGAACTATGTCCATTTAGTTACATTTTCCGTGGTTGAGAGCAATTCCTAAAATGTGGTCTCCTTACACCATTAGACACAGAGTGCCTGGGACCAGTGCAGTGTGCCCTTCAGTGTGTATACAGACCCACCTAGCTCTCCATACACATTTCTAGGCAAAAAAAAGTAATCTTGGATCTAATCTGGTTTACCCCTATATCCTCAAGCATCCCCTGCATCTAGTACCATTCTTATTAAGAGGAGGAAACTGTCTTGGTCAGCAAAAATGAGTTGATATTTGGGAACAGGCCTAACAACCGGTGGTGGTGTGGCATATGAGTGGGATAAGTGGGTAGTCGAAATGAAGAAATGGGGGACGAGAGTATAGAAAGGCTTCAAAAGTACTATCTTTGTATTGGGATTACAGCACATAGGCTCTCTTGCACCACGATTATCCGTACTAGTGTTTAATCTCTTTTTCTTAATAGGAGGTACCCTTTTTTTCTGTTCCCTTGCTTTTTTCAGATGGCTTCTGTCTCATTTTGGGGTATGTAGGCCGTTCAGTGAATTCACCAGACTTTCATAGTATCAAAACAAAATTTAAAAACTGGGGCCAAATCATATTAGGACAATTTTAAAAAATGAGTTATAGCCCTGGTTTCTAACTAGGCTAGAAAATAGTTTGACCTTGTCAACATAGGCCAGTCAAATGTTAGAAAACATTTCAGCTGCAACCAAGTTTAAACTATAGTCAAGCAAAGTTGTTCAAGTCATTTGTTTTGGTGGCAAAGTGGAGGCCTGTGACTCACCTGACTTATTCTGAACCCTGCATGGTCAGAGAAATGTGCTGAGGCCAAGCTATTTCTTAAACTCCTTTACTTTACATATTTATCTTGTCACTAAGGAGGGAGTTACGTAGGTAAACTATATCTGAGTAGCCTTAAAGAAATGTTGATGGTGCTTTTGTGGGTTGCCCTGAGAAATGCACATTGCTATAACTCTGTGCATTATCAAAGACCAAATGGCCTGGATGGAAATAATGTTGAGATGTTATTGCCAGAGTTAGTTCATGGAATATTTTATTCAGGTATTGCTACAATAGTATGGTACGATAGTATTCTGTATATCAGTGTTTCTCAACAACCGATCTGTGGACCGGTGCTGGTCCTGGAGAACACAGTTTAGGAAGGCAGCAAGCCGGTCCCTGGTATCAAAAAGATTGAGAAACACCCAGTCTGTTTAGAGTGAATCATGTTAATGAGATGTTGTTTGGTTTGTTCATATTGATTTAATGCAGGCTGTTGGAGAGAGGGTAGTCAGGGAGGAATTTCCAGACGCTATCATTATGAAACCCGCTGAGATATTTGGAAGAGAGGACCGATTTTTCAATTATTATGCAAGTATGTATTACAATAAAGCAATATGCAATCTGTATAACTAACCCTAGAGGCTGTAGGAAGTAGGGAATAAATAATTTCCCTTCTCAAGGGCATAAGCACACTTGTTTTAAAAATCTCCTGTACTTTAAGTCATCATCTATATAATGTAAATAAAACTGAACCTCATGTTTAAGACCATGATCTGTGGGGATTAGGAAAGAATATGCAGTGTCTACTATGAAAAGTGACTTTATCGTGTTGGACTTCATGTTTTTATCTGGAGTATTTGAGACACTCTTTGCTTATTTTATCTAATTGCCAGGGCTGGAGTGCAACAGTTGAGCTGGGTTCTCTTAGAATCATAGAATATCAGGGTTGGAAGGGACCCCTGAAGGTCATCTAGTCCAACCCCCTGCTCGAAGCAGGACCAATTCCCAGTTAAATCATCCCAGCCAGGGCTTTGTCAAGCCTGACCTTAAAAACCTCTAAGGAAGGAGATTCTACCACCTCCCTAGGTAACGCATTCCAGTGTTTCACCACCCTCTTAGTGAAAAAGTTTTTCCTAATATCCAATCTAAACCTCCCCCACTGCAACTTGAGACCATTACTCCTCGTTCTGTCATCTGCTACCATTGAGAACAGTCTAGAGCCATCCTCTTTGGAACCCCCTTTCAGGTAGTTGAAAGCAGCTGTCAAATCCCCCCTCATTCTTCTCTTCTGCAGGCTAAACAATCCCAGCTCCCTCAGCCTCTCCTCATAACTCATGTGTTCCAGACCCCTAATCATTTTTGTTGCCCTTCGCTGGACTCTCTCCAGTTTATCCACATCCTTCTTGTAGTGTGGGGCCCAAAACTGGACACAGTACTCCAGATGAGGCCTCACCAATGTCGAATAGAGGGGAACGATCACGTCCCTCGATCTGCTCGCTATGCCCCTACTTATACATCCCAAAATGCCATTGGCCTTCTTGGCAACAAGGGCACACTGCTGACTCATATCCAGCTTCTCGTCCACTGTCACCCATAGGTCCTTTTCCGCAGAACTGCTGCCTAGCCATTCGGTCCCTAGTCTGTAGCGGTGCATTGGATTCTTCCATCCTAAGTGCAGGACCCTGCACTTATCCTTATTGAACCTCATCAGATTTCTTTTGGCCCAATCCTCCAATTTGTCTAGGTCCTTCTGTATCCTATCCCTCCCCTCCAGCGTATCTACCACTCCTCCCAGTTTAGTATCATCCGCAAATTTGCTGAGAGTGCAATCCACACCATCCTCCAGATCATTTATGAAGATATTGAACAAAACCGGCCCCAGGACCGACCCTTGGGGCACTCCACTTGATACCGGCTGCCAACTAGACATGGAACCATTGATCACTACCCGTTGAGCCCGACAATCTAGCCAGCTTTCTACCCACCTTGTAGTGCATTCATCCAGCCCATACTTCTTTAACTTGCTGACAAGAATACTGTGGGAGACCGTGTCAAAAGCTTTGCTAAAGTCAAGAAACAATACATCCACTGCTTTTCCTTCATCCACAGAACCAGTAATCTCATCATAAAAGGCAATTAGATTAGTCAGGCATGACCTTCCCTTGGTGAATCCATGCTGGCTGTTCCTGATCACTTTCCTCTCATGCAAGTGCTTCAGGATTGATTCTTTGAGGACCTGCTCCATGATTTTTCCAGGGACTGAGGTAAGGCTGACTGGCCTGTAGTTCCCTGGATCCTCCTTCTTCCCTTTTTTAAAGATTGGCACTACATTAGCCTTTTTCCAGTCATCCGGGACTTCCCCCGTTCGCCACGAGTTTTCAAAGATAATGGCCAATGGCTCTGCAATCACAGCCGCCAATTCCTCTTTCTGGCTCATGCATCGTCAAGAATAAAGATTCTGCAATTGTAATTTATGTAGCAATTCTGATGCGGATACATGCGGCAGAATAGAATCCAGGTCCCTCTCTCAAGGTTGTATGGGTTCTGCACTGCTAATTGCAATAAAAGCTAATAAACATTTTAGACTGTGGTCGAACAACACTTTTTATGCACCTTTCAAACATAGTTCCTTTCCACAATAGTTCAACACTATGTAGTTGCATTTTGGCTCGTCTGCCTTGCTCTGAAACATCATGTGTTGGTTATTGCCCAATGCTCTGATTCACTGATCACATTCTTAAGTTACTCATATGTCTTCTTTACCAGATATGCGTTCCTTTGGCGGTGTGCCACTTATTGCTCTGGGCAAGAAAACAGAGAAGCAACCTGTATATGTAGGTATTATAAAAAAAAAAAAGGGGAGGGGGGGACAAAAACTTGTTTTCAAACCACTTGTAGAAAATGTATAATTGCTTTTCTAAAGTTATTTTAAAAATATTTTTAAACTAACATAAATATTTCTCTTAGGTTGTTGATGTAGCCAAGGCAATTATTAGTGCAATTAAGGATCCTGATGCTAAAGGAAAAACATATGCCTTGACTGGGTAGGTTACCCATCTGATTCTAATTAACTGTAGTGCTTCTGTGTGGTGCCTTTTTTCACATATTATTAAACCCCTTCGTTTTCAGTTTAAACCGATTTTTACTGAAAAATTCCCAGATTTTGCAAAATGTATTATTCAGTTTTTTCTGATTTTCACCCTACTTTTCTATCATTCAAATATATAAAAAATAACTTGTTTTATTAGGAAAATACAATACATTGCATGAGATAGATGTATTATGATAATACATTAGTCTGTGTGTATATGTAAAGCTACCTGTTGAAGTAAGGCTATGTACTAGTCTAGAAGATACACACAATAAACAAACAGGTCCACACACTCTGAAGTGCACGAGCATCTGAACATACTGATGAATCTCACGCCCACCACATACACATTTCAAGCCGTTAGCAGATAACGGTTTAAAGATTTGACACACTAAAATGGGAAGAAAATGAAAATCTGTATCAGAATACGTTTCAGAACACAAGGAAGTATTCAAAAGTTTAAAAACAACAAAAACAGGAGAAAGGGATGAAGTTGAGTGTATGCGTTGTAAATGATGTGGCCCAGTTATTAAATGTAAATATTTATAGGCTAATAGTTCTAAGACTACAACAGTAAACTGTTTATTCAAATGAAAAGTTTTATTGGGGATTAGAGATATATTTTCTTAATCTCAGAGATGACATTGAGTTCTGTTTTAGTTCTGCAACAAACCACATTGATGAATGGAATTCAAAGCATTAATCTACTGAATATTTTTTCCCCATCTTTCCAGCCACCAAAATAAACCCCGATATTTACCCAGGAAAACTATTAATAGTTTTTTGCACTGGTTTTCGCTTCTTTTTGTTGTGGTAATAAACACTGATAAATTTCCCGGAAAAATTAAATAAAATAAAAACTGAAAACGAAGGGCCCTACATATTACGCAGTAAATTGTGCTTCTCCACTGTGTTATGCATGCTGTTTTAGCTGGAATAAATTCCATCTCATTTGTTGGGAAAAAAATAATAATAAAAAAACCAAAAACACAGACTTGAGCCATTATTGTTAATATTCTGGTAATCCCAATTAGAGCTCCATTGTATTTACTGTTGTGTACATATCCAGAGAAATAGGCAGTCCTGCTTGTAGAGCTCACAATCTAACTAGACAAGTTAGATAAGATAGTGTAGGAAAGGGATATAACATACAGGCAGATGGTTAATATTTAACACAAGACATTCTGTTCTGGGTTTTCTTTTTTGTCTAATATTGTAAACATCAACACATGGAACAGTTCTTATAAACACTGATTTTTATTGTATAGGACTGAATAGCATATGTGCTTGTCATGATATTCTATAAAGGAAGTGAGAGAGGAGTAATCTTAAAGAGAAATTTGTATGCATTATTTCAGTAACATGGAGAGAACTATCAGTCAGTTCCCTGAAGAACATAATTTAATGTTATGTTATTTAATGTTAATCTTACTGTAAATTTAGAAATCTATTTGTCAGTTACATCTCCCTTATTCCACATTAACAAGTGTATCTCTGTTAGTTAAGAGCCCCATTTAGATGTTTTCATGAAGTAGAAGCAGCTCACTTATAATCTTTATTTTTGAGTAATTCTGATTTACAGTATTTAAGATAAAGTAGTAATACAAGGTAGAGGCAAAAACTAAAGGAGAAATCCCACTGACTTTAGTGAAAGCCTCTGATGCAGATGCTTAGATTTGGAGAGAATTCTGGAACAGCTCTGTAGGGGCACTTAGAACCAAACTGGGTAGCCACTCAGTGGTCTAAGCACAAAAACTCCAGGGTAGAATAGGATATCAGCAAACTCCCAAGAGCCAAATTTTGCTCTGACTTAATCAGTTCAGTTATGTAATGTGGGGTCAAAGCAAAATTAGGTCTAGTTAGTATATGAGGTGAGAGAAGCATTTGACTACATCATGGAGAGGAATGGTTGCTAAGTAGTCAAGTTACAAAGTGCTTCTAAAAAAACCTGCACACAATTATATAAAATATGTTTAGTGGTCTGGGACTTGGGTTGTAAAAACCCTATCTGTGACTAAATAACTTTTCTGTATTCATTAGTTTATTATATTGTCACTATGGTAGCCCTCCAGTTTCATATGCAGTGGACACGGGTGGTCAGTCTTTCCCTCCTGTGATCTCATTGTCCTCAGCACTGTAATTAATCTTTCAAACGCAGGGCTCCTAGAAGGGGCAGTGTCCTAGCTGTTGTGGCAGGTGTGCTTCATGTTGTCTGTCCAGAACCAGCCATTACTCACTCTTCCTGAAAAGTACACTACAAAATCTTTCTCAAAAAATGGCAAAGCAGTAGGAAGAAGCAAGTAACTGGCTAAAGGAGCAAATAATGATAATGGGTGTTTTAAGAAACCTGGAAAAGTTTTACAAGTCTCTGGATGAAGTGTCATCTTAAAGGACAAGTAGAGACAAATGACGCACAGCAGATCAAAGATAGAAATTATTTGAAGGAATGAGAGAGAAGCATGTCACATGGGCAGAACATGCAAGAATCCAGCAAATTTAGAAGAGAGTCCAGACAACGAGATAAGAGTGGAGTTAAACCTCTGAATTGTCGTACTTTGCAGGTGGGGCAGTCGAGAAGATAGGTCTCTATGCATGCAAAGCAGTGATAGTAGATGATTCCTACTAGAACAGAAAAAAATGTATTCGACTGCAGGGCTTTGGCCTTGTTGAAACAAGTGCTCCAACTTCAGAAGGAAGTGAGGATTGCATATTAAATAGCAGACCAGCTCTTCAGCCACATATAAAGAGGAATCAGCTAAATTCCGAACATACTCATATTGTTTGAAAGTCTAATTTTTTGAAAGTCCACAGAAGGCCAAGAGTTAAGCACCCGTGTTTCAGAGGCAGGAATTCAAGCAAGGGATACCATCCTTTCACCCCAAGGAATTTGGAGATTCAAGCACCTAGCAATGACTAAAAAGACTTTGAATAATTAATTTTCTGAGCTAAGGGTCAGATCAATTTTGGAAAATCAAGGAAAGGCTGCCTAGTAATCTTTGACTAAAGCTGCACACTGCCTCTTTTAAAAGGTGCTGGCAACTCAAGCTATTAAAATGTTGCAAAATAAATTCGCTCATCTTGTAAAACAAAACATTGTTTTCTAATATTCTGTTAAATTTCTTTGAGATGTGTGTTAAATTGTGACGGCAGGTGCTGTTGTAATTGCTGCTCTTGAATGCCTAAGAATTTTATACATTTTATTAAAACAACAAGGAGTCCGGTGGCACCTTCTTTAAGGCGCCACCGGACTCCTCATTGTTTTTGTGGATACAGACTAACATGGCTACCCCTCTGATACTTGGTACATTTTATTGTCATCCTGTTTCCTCCTTTTCCCCACCTTGGCTCTGTTTGTCACTTCCACTGGTTATATCTTGTCCTTTAGATTGTAAGCTATTCATGTACTATATGATTATACCATGCCTAGCACAATAAGGCCCCTGTTATCACCAAGGAACTACTAGTGGGAAAGCAGAGAACACTAAAGAAAAATGAGTGCTGAAGTGTGAATATACTTTAATACCCCTACTATATACACTATTATACAAATAGATTTTTAGCCAATATAGAAGTTGACTTATGTTAGTTTTTAACTAATTAGAGACAAGAGGATGTTAAGAGTGCAAGAAACTCAGTACAAGCCTTAAGAATGGTTTTATTTGTTTTTCTGTTTCAACATTTGGTAATGTTAGAATTCAGGAGAATTTGACATTACTTATTTGTTTTCATTTCATATTTTATCAGCTGTATCAAGAGAATAGAATTTAATGTGGCTTTATAAGAATGAGGTATTAAAGGGGCACCGTCATCTTGAAGTCTGTCAACATTTTCAATATAGGTGGCTTGATTTTTCAAAGATGCTGAGATCCACAAATCCCATTGTAGTCAATAGAAACTGCTGGTGCCCTGCCCCATTGAAAATCAGGCCACCTACATTAGGTGGCTCCTAACTCTGTATTTAGATGTCTGACTTTAGGCACACAAATGAGAAAATATTTGACCTAGTCAGTTGAAACAAAAATAGTAAAAGGTGTAGCTGTACTGTCCTTGCTCTGGTGCCCCCTGACAACTTTTGTGGTTATACAATAACACTTTCCGTATTCTTTAAGAAAATGGAATTACACAATTATTAAATGTTGCTCTTCCTTCCTAAGAGCTTGCCATTTGTGGGCACGAGTTCTGATACACAGAAACACAAAGTTTTCCCATCAGAACCATGGCTTGTCAAACTAAAGTTTTGTTCACCTCTCTGACTCAGTTGTCCCAACTTGCAGTTTCATGGCTAGCTGCATAGATGTAATGTGTGTAGTTTAACAAGCTCACCTACTGGTCACCATAATCCTGGCACTGTCTGATCCTCCTATGTTTACAGCTGGATCTGAAATCCCACTTTCCCCTGGATACTAAATATGAAAATGCCACAAAATATTACTTCTGGAATGCCCCGACTGTATAATGTTGCAGCAGTCACGTCCAGGCTCATGGTTCATCAAGGTCACTGGTTGCTAGCTGAGAATTTCCAATAAATCCTTCAGAGACCAAATCTGTTGGCATGTTCAATGGTCCTTTGATCGTGACCTGCATGACAACATTATGAGGATTCAAACAGACTGTGTGACATATCGCATAGCTCAATAATAAAGGGCTTCCATGAGTAGTCTCAAAGATTTGGCAACAGAGTTCTGACAAATCCTTATATGGGCCAAGAGAAATTCTTTATTAGGCTCAGCCTTTTACTTAACAAGTGTAGTAAACTGCCAGGACAAACTGGCAAAACATGATCAAGAACCAGGCAGGGGAGTGGGAACTCCAATAATCTGTTTTCTTCTTAATCTGCCACAATTATGTGTGGAACTAGTGCCCAGCCTGTTAAGCAGGAAAGTGACACTCCATTGCTAAAGGTATTAGCCCTGCGGTGGATGCATTTTTTTTTTTCTGGGAGGTTTTCTTATTGATTTCTACCACTCTGCCTTCTCACTGGTAGGCAAAGTCCTCCAGATAAACATAGATAAACTCTTGGTCCAGAGGTGTTCTGGTAGCCCCTATTCTCTCCCCTGTTCGAGTTGGGTACCACCCCCTTTTCCTTGGCAAAGTCTTCTATTGGGGGTCCTAGTTCAAAACAAGATGTTGGTGAATCTAAACAAGATCCACTGCTTCCTGGCCTCCTTCCAGGACAAGGTGGATAGAAGTCTGAGTGTTAGGACACTGCAAGTCCAGGTCAGTCCCAACATTGAAAATGTTGTATCCAGGTTTAATAAGGCCCTATTTATCTGTGGTAAGCTCACTGCAGGCAATAGACTTACACCTTGGGGATGAATCTGGTTGGTATCACTAAGCTCATAAAACCTATTGTGTCCTCACACTCTGTATATGATGCTTGTACATTTTACTGACCTCATTGCTTACTGTTTCAAACAACACAGTTTTCTCTTGAGCCATTAAATTTCCCTTAATATTGCCCTCTGGCAACAAGAATGAAAAATCGTTTAGATTGAAGAAAGCTAGATGTTGCTAGGTTACTTGAATATTTGCAAAAGGAGGCATGAAACAGCATAATTTACCTGGTACCCTTTTTTTGCAGACCTCATCGATACCTTCTTTATGACTTGGTAGACTATCTGTATGCGACTGCCTATAGATACTATTTCCCATACCCACTCCCACGTCTTCTCTACCAGTAAGTAGAATTCTTTCTTGGCTTAGAAATTGCTGCCCATCAAGTGGATAGAAGCATGAAGAATTTAAAGTAACTGAGTATTTACATTAGTCTTTAAACTTTACTACAGGATAAGTGCAAGGGATATAATAAGAAGTCGATGTAGACTGAATTTCCCAAAATACTCATAAGTTATTTTAGCTCTCATGCTCAGCCAAAAATCCACGCATTAGGATGTACTGCAATTAAGTGTGCAATTGTAGTAGTCTTAAGGTAACTCTTCACTGTGCATGCTCACTATGCAATTATTAAACGGTCTCATTTTTGCTAAATCAAAACTAACCAAAGGTGTCCAGATCTGCTGTGTGTTCTGTCATTCAGAGGCTAAATGAATTCACTTTTATTAGCACTGCAGAGATAGCATAGCTATGAGGATGAACTGGATTCTTTTCTGGCCTTGAGTATCGTTGACAGAACTGTCAAGTAAATCTGCAACTCCAAATTTTGCCCTTTTACGTCTGGAGACCATGGGATTGTGTAAGGGTAACTGAAGGCAGAAATTAGCCTACAAAACCCACTTGTTCACTTAAACTGAGCAAATCTGATGTTGAGGCATTGAGCAAAAATAAACATTGAGCTTCATCACCCTACTGCCATTTTCAATCATTTTTTTTAAAGACTAAAACTGCACTTTTTATAATATGGAAATTATATATGCAGATTGCTCCAAACTACATCCCCTAGCTTGCACATCCATTAAATTGTTGCTGTCAGCAAGCATGTTTTAGCCTTAGAGGCTTTGAATTGTAGCCCTTATGAGTGGTGAGATTATTGCTTATGTCTGCCAAGGAGCAGAGCTTGAAAAAGAGGCATACTAGTCCTTCCAGTTTCAAAAGTGGGGGTAGAAGTGAGCATTAATTAGATGTGGATTTTTATCTCCCTCCCCAGATTCCGCGCACACATATATCATTCCTCTGGGGTTGGGAGATGGAAGAATGTGGTAGTGGTCATTTATAGTAATAAGAACCATAACTGAGAATTTGCTGAAACCTTAACATTCTTTACTATGCACTAATGGAATTTCCAGCTAGGAAAATGAAATATGGAACAGAAAATGCTAATTCCTTGGGTAGTCTGAATATTGTTGCCTGTCTGAATTGCCTTCTGTGTATCTGTATTATGACAATTCTCATGTTTGCACCATTTTTCATGGTTACAGTTTATTTGCAAGATTCTTTGAGATTAATCCATTTGAACCATGGACAACGAGAGACAAAGTGGATCGGGTAGGTCTGGGGCAGCACTAGTTAATATTTTCACTGGGGAAGTGTAATGAGTGTTTCTTAGCAATCCAAGGAGTAATGAAACATGATGTCCCTGCAGATTGTATATTGCAGTGTTTCAATCTGTTCCACAAATAGAATTTGGTGTTGTAGTGTGTCATTAACAGAATGTATAAACCCTGTAAACGTTTGCAGACTGTTCTTGGAGACAAAATCTCTTTATGGAGATGTTAAGATTTCAGAGTTCTCCTTTACTGTCTTCAAAAGTCCTCATGGAATACATAGCATAGTTGCTGCAGCCACTGTTACCCCATGAATTCCCACTTACTTTACCTGTCCAGGCCTGTTGGATGATGTGGGGGTTGACTGCAAAGGGATGCATACCTGAAGCAGCCTGGAGGTTCCCCTGGTTTGGTCTGGCAGCTGTTTAATGGGAAATTAGGGCCAGCTGGGTTTGGCGCATTTCTCTTAAACATGTAAGGAAGGAACCAGGCTGACTGACAACAGAATTGTTGATAGTAACCTGGAAAGATAAACCTTTTCTCTTAAGTATCAGAGGAAGGGGTGGCTGGAAAGAGAAAACTATTGTAAGTAGATATCTGGCATGCAGCTGACTGTTTTCTGTTGGAAAGTTTACCTGTTTGTGTGCAGTGAGTGAGGATTTTTTTCCTACTTTTATGTGCACTTAAATAAATCACAAGCACCTTCCCTTGTAGCACAGTTAAGCTTACATAGCTATTTTCAGCAGGATTTGTGTTTTACTAGGGTGGGCAGAAGGGAATTTGGTTTAATAACCCATACAGATGATGACACCTTTAACAACTCAAGGTGAAATCTCCGCATTGGTTATGACCGAAGTCTTAATTTAACACTGGAATCCGTGATCTTCTGACCAATAGGCAAAAGTGTTGCCTCTTGACATTTATCCATAACTTTTCATAGTTGCTTTTAATGTGGTTTTAGCCATGTGGCTCTTGCCAAACCTTGTTTCAACTGTGAAAATGTGGGTATTAGCCAATATTTACATATCAGAGCCCTGTTATTCCACGGGTAGGGTTAGCGAAAATGCAGACATATCCTCGATGTCAGTACCTGATGTAATCTTTTCCAAAGGTTGATGATGATATTCTACAAATCTTTGCATAAATGGAGTTATTTAGATAATCTTTCACTAAGATAGGGCAGCAATAGTCTGTCTGAACATAACGTGTGCATCACTTTTAATTGGACACAGCATGGTCCGTAGGACATGGCACTGGACTGAGTCGGGAGACCTGGGTTCTGTTCCCAGATCTGTTCACTGTGTGACCTTGGGCAAGTCACTGATGCTTCAGTTTCCACTTCTGTGAAATAGAAATATCTCACCTCCTTGGTAAAGCACTTTGAGCTCCCTTGTGAAAAGTGCTATGTAAGAGCTTATTATTTATTCATGAGCTAGTCCAGGACATATTGCAAAAACTTGGCCCTCTTTCCTCCCTCTGCCACCCTAGGGAAAGTTGCCCTCAGTTGGTCTGTTGTGATCATAACAATGCAGCTCATAGGCACACCACCTTCAGTGGGCTCAGCTGGATAAACTGCTTGAGGGCCTTTCTTGTTGGATCATGGTGGGATACCCGCAGCAGTAGGGTTCTCAGGGGTTGCAATGTTCTAAACCAAAACTAGCAAAATCCAGCTGTCTTCCTGCTCTAAGGTGAGCAGCTGCAGTAGTCAAGATTAAACAGAGTTTGATTATGCATCTGATGAAGTGAGCTGTAGCTCACGAAAGCTCATGCTCAAATAAATTGGTTAGTCTCTAAGGTGCCACAAGTACCCCTTTTCTTTTTGCAAATACAGACTAACACGGCTGTTACTCTGAAACCTTTGATAATGTAGTTGCTGGAGCACACAGCAGAGAAGCAGGGGAAGTGTTTTTAATGGAGGGTTCAAAGCTGTGGTGTTGTAGAAATGAGGATACATGCTGCCGGTGTGCAGCTAAATAAGGTGAACATAAATAGCATAAACAAAGATATGTGTTAAGGTTTTGTTGATGCAAGGACATGGTGCAAATGCTGACCTCAGGAATCCAGAATCAGTTTTTAGTTACCTCGTTTTAAAGAGCTTTCATAGCAAAGGTAGCTAATTTTCTTCATTTAAAAACTGCAAATTATCTAAAGTTATAACAGTTCTTTTAAAATGACAATTTTAGCCATCTGTAGGTGAATTTAAAGTTCAAACTCAGTTGTGACGTGTGAAATGGAAGAGGTTATGGAATATTCTCCCAAGGTCCCATCACTTGAGCCATTTTAAAATTGGACTTGAACCAAAACATTGGGGAATATACAGTAAGGAACAATCTTGCACCATCTACCAGAGGCGGGGCTAGATGCGTGAACATATCTTTGTATGACAAAATCTGTTCAGGACTGCAACTGAATAAAACACCCCATCACAGTTGTTAATTCTGTGTAAGTTTTCTGACAAAGTGCCAGAGAAGTAATTTCAGTCCAGCTGTGTGCTTGTGAATTCAAGGTCAGCATTAATTAATTCTTTGCAGGTGGTGCAGAGTAAACTTCCCATTAATATATGAAAGAGAGGGGAGGTAATAAAGAAATGCAGTGCATTTGCTTGTCTCCCCTGTACCCTAATATAAATCTGCTACTCCTATTGAAACTAATTCAGGACACAAATGTACATGGCTTCTTTGGATCAGGCCTGCCTGCTGCCGCCCTCCTCCCCCCAAACACACACATCCATGCATGCATATTGTGATCAGAGATCTGGAGGTGGTATGTGGTTACCTAATCCCTCAGCAGTAGCTGCACAGTCCTCTGTAATCCATTATAAGATCCAGCAGTGCCTTATATTGCAGCGTTATTTCTCCTGGGAAAGATCTTATTCCAGCAGCCTGCACTAATATCAAGGGAATTTTGCAAATAGTTGGAAGTAGAGTTTACCAGGATCTGCAGTGATGCTATGGCATTGCATTTAGACTTATTTAAAATTGTTTCTAGTCGTAGTATTCCATACCAGTTTTTCCGGAGGACAAAAGGCGAGCTCAGTTAAAAGTATAATATAATGTATTTAGTACAGTAAGGATTAGATTCACTGTAATAGCTGAGTATCTACATGTATAGCTGTTCTCTCTGCTATGTTCATTTATAGTTCCTTTTTTTTTTTTTTAAAGTTTCATACAACAGACATGAAGTTCCCTGATCTTCCTGGGTTGGAGGACCTGGGCATTCAACCAACTCCCGTAGAACTAAAAGCAATTGAAGTTCTGCGCCGTCACCGGAGATATCGCTGGCTGGACGCTGAGCTGGATGAGATAAAACCATCAAAGACTATTCCCATCTAACAGTGGCCAAGGTGGCTTCCAGTGCTTCTCACACTGCTTTTGTGCTGACCTACTTTGTTTGGAGAATTCTGTACATACTGAGTAAAATCCCTATGTTGATCATGTAAGCGTTATTTCAGCCGCGTCATTATTTTCATTCAAGATTTTAATCATGGGGGAAAAGGTCTGTTTTCTGTAATTCTCCTTTTTTAAAGCTCATCTAATCCATACTGCGTGATGTTGCTCAGTTTGTGATCATTAAATGTTTTAGCTCATGGGAGCCTAAACAATACAGTCAGTTTCTTCTTCCTATCTTAAAACCACTGTACAGTGGGCTTCCTACCTTAGTGTAACCTAGCTCAACAAATTTAGAGCCCTTGTCCTCTCATCTTCAGTGCTCCTCCATCAGACTTTAGAAGCCATCCCTTATTATAGGTGGAGCTGGTAGTGCTGCCTCTTAAGGTTGCCCAATAGTTCTCACTATAAGACCCTGTTTTTAGTTGCTTATACGTTGCCAGAGTTTAACCATTTGGGATGAAATTTTCCATGCTGGGTGTCTGCCTCAAGCTGATTTTATTTTGGGGCGGTGGGGATTTCAGTCAAAGCAGGTCAGCTGTTTTTGAGAACAAGGCTAGGGAAAAAGATTGTGTTGATCAAAATAGTTCTGGTGACTTTTTCTTTGAGAAGCTGAAGTGCCACCACGCTCTTGGTGCAGGGACTTGAAATTTGGCCAGGGGTCAGATTTTGTGTCAGGGATGTGCCTTTTGCTCTTCCTGTGAAAATCTGCCTGAGTTTGGCCAAGTTATAAGGCTTTGAAAACTTATAGTTCACATCTGCTCAGTAGAGACCTGCTAGAGCTTTGCAGTTTGATTTTTCCCAAAGATTCCATCTGAATGCTGCAGTCTAGGAGTAAAGCAGGACTGGCCCTGCAATCACAGTTCCCAGCTGCTTATGCTTGTCTGAGTTTGAGCACCAGAACTCAGAGTAGGGGGTCTGCCTATCCTGTGCTCTCAATGCCCCCACCCTGCTGGACCCCGGCAGCGTGGAGGAGGAAGCTGCCTGAATCAAATGCAAAGGGGACAAGAGGCTGTGGGTGTAGATTGTGGCAAGGGGAGGACTAGGTGGGGGAAGACTGGGGTGGGAGGTTGATGGGCGTGACAGGAAATGTGGGAGTTGGGTGGCAAACTGGGTTGGGCAAGGGGACTGGGAAGCAGGGGGAGAGGAGAGTGAATCAGACAAGGAAGAGGGGGGTGAGACAGGGACTGGGACACAGTGGGGACAGGGAACGTGTGTCTGGAGGTGACTGGAAGCTGAGATGGGAGAGATCAAATGAGGAACAAGGAAGGGAGGAATTGTGACTTGCTGGGCAAGAAGATCGATACTGGGGTTGGGTGTGAGGAGGGGGGTTGAGAACTGGGACAAGACGTTCAAAAGCGGGAGATTAGTACTGGCTGGACAAGGAAACTGGCAGTGGGATGAGAGGTCTGAGGAGTGAAGACGGATTGGCTAGGTGAGGAGAATCAAACTGTAACAAAAGAACCAGGGAGGAGCCTGAGCCATAACTTAGATAAGGACAGGTGGGAGGGACACGATAGAATGTGTCACATGTGGAGGAATGGGCAAAAGAGTCTGTATCCACCAGAGAACATACCCTTCCAGAGCCTTCAATGGAACCCAAAATTTCTGAGTCTCACTATTCCTCTGCTGCCTGTGTGTTTCACACATATTTGCTGACAGTGCCCTGTCCTTGTCTAGTGCTATCTACCTAGAGGATGACAACCTGGTACTGCAAAAAGAAAAGGAGTACTTGTGGCACCTTAGAGACTAACAAATTTATTTGAGCATAAGCTTTCGTGAGCTACAGCTCACTTCATAGGAGCTGCAGCTCACGAAAGCTTATGCTCAAATAAATTTGTTAGTCTCTAAGGTGCCACAAGTACTCCTTTTCTTTTTGCGGATACAGACTAACATGGCTGCTACTCTGAAACATAGTACTGCTATCTTTTATCCCCTTAGGTGAAGTGGCAGAAGTCTGTGTCATGGAGCTAATGGTTCCAACCCTGCTGATGAACCAAGTGGATGTTAATATGATGCCTGATGATGGAATATGTCTTTTTATTTTGCTTTTTTAAAAACTAGGAAATTACACACACATAAAAGAGTTAAAAGAATAGTAAGGTTGCAAAGTCAAGCTCTCAGAAGTTAGGAAATGCCAGAATAAAGGTTGCACAGAATTATTATGATGCAGTCTTTAATTACATGATCAATACTGTTTTTTTCAGATGTCCCCGCCTTATTCAGTGCCCACGAGGGACCTGCTCTGGGGTTGAATTAGCAGTATGTAGTGAAAGAGGCTGTTTCTGTAGGACCTGTTTCAGTTTTTTGAAGGTGTGCCAAGAATGAGGCCAAGGATTGCAGGAAGAGAAAGTAAGGGCTCATGGTAAAGGCAGTTGAATGCTGCCCATGAGAATCACGTTTTATCCCTGCCTCTGTTAGAGCTCCTGTGTAATGCTGGACAAGTCACTTAAACCAGGCTTTTCACATGTGGTCACTGTGTGTTCCTCATTTCCTGGTGTCTGACTTGCAGAAGTGCTGAGCACTCTCACTGCAAATGAAGTCAGTGGGAGCTGTGCTTTGAGCATATGAAGTGGTACATAATGAGAGACAGTTGGAAAAATCAGATACCAGGCATCTCAAATTGGACACCCCAGTAGTAGGTACTTTGGGCCTGAAATCTCTGCCTATGTTTCCCAGCTATACAATCGGGATGATAACCCCTCCATTCAGAGGAGTATTGTTAAGAGATTAAAGGTTATTAAGCGCTCAGATGTTATACTGTTGAGTACCATAACAAAACCCATGAGGAAATTAGTAATTCTGTCTTCAGGGCAGGATTTGACTAGTGTTCAGTGCATAAGGCCTGAGCTACATGTTGAGCAATGAGGATAAAACAAAATATTGAACAGCAGCTCAGTGGCCATCATCTATTCTAAGCACTGGATGAAGCATGCCTGTGGAAAACATAGTATGTGATCATGTCATTAAAAACTATCATCATGCATATGCACAAGGAGGCTGCATTAAGTTTTCATGGGAAACCTTAATTCTGGCATTTCCTCTTTTTTGAGTGCTTCACTTAGCGACCATAATAATGGGGTTTTTAACATAGTTTTTGTTAGTGTAATTGGAATATAGGGTAAGTTGGTGGCTCTTACTTGGCTTTTTGACTGCAGATAGCTGCATATCCAATAAACCGTGAAGGCTTTTTGCAAGTAGAATGCAACAAAATCCACAGGGTGACTTTAATCCTATAGTTGGCATCCATGTCACTTTGAATACAGTGGTTCAGTTTCTCTGAAGTACTTTGATAGTTCTAGAGAAGGCTTTAGATCAGATTTTACCTCTAGATTAAACATTCATTCATATGTCATAAAGCCAGAATGGACCATGGTGATCATCTAGTCTGATCTCCTGTATAACACAGGACTCCCTTGCATTAATACCTGTTTGAACTACAGCAGATGCTCCCAAACTGTGACGTGTGTACTAGTGGTACATGAGCTTGTTGGAAGAGGCATGTTACTCTAGGATCAACTTCCATAAGAGATTATGGTGTCCCCATCACTGGAGATTTTTAAGAACAGGTTGGACAAATGGCTGCCAGGGAAGGTCTAGGTTTACTTGGTTGTGCCTCAGCTCAGGGGGCTGGACTAGATGACTTTTCAAGATCCCTTCCAGCCCTACATTTCTAGGATTCTGTGCTGTAACAGCGTGGTCTGTTCCCTTGAAGAGGTAGTGGGGCTTGGGGCCAGCCAGTCCCTGTTATAGGACATGGCCTCTTTAAGGAACCAGGTATTCAAGGGGGCAGCACAGTAGTGGAGAAAGGTAGCTATCTCCTTAACATGATAAAACCCAGCTGATCGGTAACCTCTAGGAAGATTAAAAGGAAGAGGACAGACAGCCTGGAGAGGAGAACTGCAAGGGGCATCCAGTCTGGAGTAAAACTCTTTGGGGAGGGAACCAAAAGCAGCAGGAAGACTGGTGGGCTGGGGAAGCCTGCCTCCATCAAATGACGGCCACAAGAAGGGGGCTGGTAGGGGATGAATAGTCTGAGTCCAAGGACCAAGGGAAGCTCCATGAAGTGGGGCTGGAACTTGGATTCTGGTGGGCTGGGGAAGCCTGCTTGAATCACAGCATACCCTCATGGAAGAGGGTTGTGGAATCCCTTATCCAAAGAGAAGGAGTTGTGAGAGCAAGGCAAGAGGAGACCTGTGGGAAAGACTCCAAAGAATCCAAGGGCTACACTGGCACTGCCTGAGCTCCATGGCGCAGAAGGAGCTTGAGGGAAATTGGGAACCTGAAGCCTTGGAATGAGGGTGAATTGGAGCTGAAGCAGCCTGATGCCCAGGTAAAGCCCCTCACTCCCAGCCAAGACTCCCCATACCTCTATGCCCCTCCTGCCTGAGTCACACACACCAACCACCAGAGTCTTCCCTGTCCCTTCTTTTTCTCTAAACCCCACCCCAAAAATACCCCCTTGCTCTCCATCCAGAATCTTGTCTCAATCTAACCTCATTAGAGCTGGGTGGAAAATTGTTCTTCATTTTATGAAACTTTTTGTGATGTCAAAATTCTTTTCATTCTCGGTTTCATCCTGATGGCAGAACTTTCAAAGTTGTTCATGAAAAATCAGCGAGTGCACACGAGAGAAAGAGACCCATCCAACCCAGAGTAGCCAATAGCCTGGTGGCCAGGGCATTCATCTGAATCAGGCAGAGCAGAGCGAATGGTCTCCCGCGCTACAGGTGTGTGCTCTGACTACCAGGCTGCTCTGAGGTGGGTTTCTTTCTCTCTCTCTGGCCTTGACCATAAGTTCCATCCTAGACCTGAGAAATCTTTTGTGATGAAATTTTCATCAAAACAGGTAGGTTCCTGCAAAATTTCAGTGTTGACAAATAGGCATTTTCCAGCCGTCTCTAAATCTCATGTCCTCCAACCCTCCCACCCAGTCTCCCCCAGCCAAACTCTCTTCACCTGTGATTTCCTCCAGACAGATCTCCACCAACCAAATTCAAAACTTTTTTTATGAGGAGTTCATAAATACTTAAGCTAAGCCTACTAAGGCCTAAAATAAATGCACAAGATGGAGAAATTTGCATGTGGTACTTCAAACATCCTCTTTACGAATATTGTATGTGAAACAATGAAATTTGGGAACCACTGATCTACAGCATATCTTTTAGAGAATCATCCAATCTCGATATGAAAATTTCTTGTGATGCAGAATCCACC